GGCAGATGACCAGGCCTTTCTTCTGAGGCCCCTGTGTGTGCACTGGGACCTGCAACCTCGAGGTCGGCAGCTGAGCGTATTGTCCATTGGCACCACGCAGCGATGATGCTGTCTCGTCACGTCCTGACCCCGTTTGCCGCTCCCCCTCCAGTCGTTCCGCCTGGTGCTCTCCCGTCTCAGCTGTTGACCTGAGAACTCCTGACCCCAGAACCTAGGCCCCGCCTGCCCCTTCAGTCTTATGGTCCACCACTTCTCCCCTCACCCTTCCTGCACCAGGAAAACGGAAGGGGCTACAGTCACCCACCCCCGAGCTCTCTGATGCCCCTGTCTCAGCTCACACTGCCCTCCCCCTGCAACACCTGCCCCTTTCAATCCCTGCCCCCTGTGAGGCCCTGCCTGGCCTCTGCCCTTCCCCTGGGTTTCCCACCACTGCCCCGCAGATGACAGCATGTCACGGCACTGGGGAGGGGCCTGTTCCATGGGCACGGGGATCATGGCACCCGCGCTTGACCCAGCTAGCCCAGGGGACCTGCGCAGGGGCCTGCTCCTGACGCCCCTGCCTGGCTTCCGTGCTCCCAGGGCGAGGCCCCAGCACCCCCGTGCGCAGGAGCTGCTCGAGAGGGACCGAGGGGCCCGGCTGCCTGCTGAGGGTGCTCTGTGCCCAGCATCAGTGACCCCTCCCTCAAGTCACTGCATCCCTGTGTCCCCCCTCTTCTCTGAACACGACCCCCACTCTGGCACATGACCCAGGCTGAGCCAGTGAGCCCCCTCCACCCCTCGGCAATAATGATGGGCTCGGGGATGGCACGTGGCCCTAGACAGGCCAGCGGCGCTCCATCCCAGGACTTGGGCACACTGCTGGCAGAGGGGAGTGCTGGCTTTTGGAGGGGAGGGGCTGAGGGGCTACCTGCAGATCTGCACCTCGTAGCCCAGGTCCAAGGGGTCGTTGGGGGCGGTGCCGTTCTGGAAGTCGCTGACGTTGAAGGAGGAGAGCGTGTGGTTGACGAAGCCATGCATGGTCCCGTTGACACTGTACATGTACCGGTACACCAGGCGCGGGATGAAGTCTGACGCGAAGGAGATGACGAAGGCCTGGGGGACAGCGGGGTGAGCGGGGCCCACGCTGGGG